CTGCAGGCTGAGCAGCGTGTGGGAGCCGGACTGGTTCAGTGGAGACAGTGGAGGCAATCGCTCAACGTTCCACATTGACTGAACGCCGAGTGATTGCCTTCACTGGGTTTATAAGACCCACGCCGAGCCCAGAGGGCGGATCCCCGCGTGACGTCACGGCCGGAGCGCCGCGTGACGTCACGGCCGGAGCGCCGCGTGACGTCACGACCGGAGCGACGCGGCGCCGGAGCGGCCGGGGGTGCCGAGGACGAGCCTGACAATCACAGAGAGCAGTCTATGGTGGAGGCCCTGTAGACCATTTGACACCTGAGCACATTGGTGAGTCACAGAGAACAGTCTATGGTGGAGGCCCTGTAGACCATTTCACACCTGAGCACCTTGGTGAGTTACAGAGGGCTGTCTATGGTGGAGGCCCTGTAGACCATTTCACACCTGAGAACATTGGTGAGTCACAGAGGACAGTCTATGGTGGAGGTCCTGTAGACCATTTCACACCTGAGAACATTGGTGAGTCACAGAGAACAGTCTATGGTGGAGGCCCTGATAACTGCCTTCAATCTAAATTTTCATACTTGTTTTTTGCTCTGCAGCAGAGAAGTGCTGAAAGCGCACTGCACACTCATCCTTGAAGGCGTCACACTTCAGAAACCACTGCGAGAGCTCCACACGTTCAATAATCTGAGGAGGCAGAACCTGAGAAGAAGAAGAAGTGGGAAGTGTTTAGTATAATGACAGGAAATATGATGATATCTAGTAATCCCCATCCTAATGCAGCTAAGGTGTGTATACTCCAATACCTCTATACAGACCCCTCCCCCTATTAGCTTATGGCTTAGTAGAGTGGAGGAAATAAGGGTGCGCGGGAAGTCCATATGGAGGGAAGATTTGGAGATATTTGGTTTTCCTGTGGAATATAAGGCTCTCTATGAATGGTTATATGTATCCGATGGTGATCTGCTGGGTCAGCTTGGACCGAGCCTGGCTTTATTCTATGATAACCCTTAGGGTTACCCTTCCATTCATCTCCCATTCATCTCCCTCTGTCTCCTCCCTCTGTTCTTCCTTTTGTTGGCGGCTTCGCTTTGAGCCCATGAATGCAGTTCGGCTTATTTGGCAGGCTCACGATTCCCTGATATCTGGCGGTGAATTATTCTAGGAGTCGCGTTCCTCAGATGATGGGTCATTTGGGTGTTTGTAATGTTTTGTATCCTTTTTTTAATAAAAATTGTTCCTTGCTTAAATATAGAAAAAAAATCTCCACAAATTGAGAGGACCCGCTGCCGGGTTAGGGAAAAACTCAGCCCAGAGTTCTGCTTTAACTTTCTCCATTGACTCCAATACCATTCGCTAAAATTTGGGGATATTAAAATTCTCAAATCTGCTCATCCCTACGGCCTAATGGTAAAGCCAGACATTCTACAGACAGGTGCGGAAACCAGGAAATATGGGACAGCACAGCAGTAAGTCCTGAGTCCTGACCATGTGACCTCTCCATAGATTGGACCTACTGGCCAAGATCATATTATCTCTCACCTTCCGGAATCTCTATCGGCTCAATTCACAAGAAAGAGGTTTGTCATGTGACTGTGACCTTCAAATCTCATTGGTCACTGGCCTGTTATTGGTCTACAAACCTTATATATGGACACCATCTTGTTCCTGTAGTAGACGCTCGGTCCATAGAAGGCCGATATCCCAGCAACATATTTACATCCACCCAAGTGAAAGGTCCCCGAAACATCCGAGAGAAAAATATTATCCGGGAACCTGAGAGGAAAAAATGATTTCACTGAACCGCCTCTCATTTCTCCTTATTGACTGTCTACGGGGTGAAGGTGTCTACGAGGGGAAGGTGTCTACGGGGTGAAGGTGTCTCTGGGGTGAAGGTGTCTACGAGGGGAAGGTGTCTACGGGGTGAAGGTGTCTACGGGGTGAAGTTGTCTCTGGGGTGAAGGCGTCTACGGGGTGAAGCCGTCTACGGGGTGAAGGCGTCTCTGGGGGGAAGGTGTCTACGAGGGGAAGGTGTCTACGAGGGGAAGGTGTCTACGAGGGGAAGGTGTCTACGGGGTGAAGGTGTCTACGGGGGTGAAGGTGTCTCTGGGGTGAAGGTGTCTACGAGGGGAAGGTGTCTACGGGGTGAAGTTGTCTACGGGGTGAAGGTGTCTCTGGGGTGAAGGTGTCTACGAGGGGAAGGTGTCTACGGGGTGAAGGTGTCTACGGGGTGAAGTTGTCTCTGGGGTGAAGGCGTCTACGGGGTGAAGGCGTCTACGGGGTGAAGGCGTCTCTGGGGGGAAGGTGTCTACGAGGGGAAGGTGTCTACGAGGGGAAGGTGTCTACGAGGGGAAGGTGTCTACGAGGGGAAGGTGTCTACGAGGGGAAGGTGTCTACGAGGGGAAGGTGTCTACGAGGGGAAGGTGTCTACGAGGGGAAGGTGTCTACGAGGGGAAGGTGTCTACGAGGGGAAGGTGTCTACGAGGGGAAGGTGTCTACGAGGGGAAGGTGTCTACGAGGGGAAGGTGTCTACGAGGGGAAGGTGTCTACGAGGGGAAGGTGTCTACGAGGGGAAGGTGTCTACGAGGGGAAGGTGTCTACGAGGGGAAGGTGTCTACGAGGGGAAGGTGTCTACGAGGGGAAGGTGTCTACGAGGGGAAGGTGTCTACGAGGGGAAGGTGTCTACGAGGGGAAGGTGTCTACGAGGGGAAGGTGTCTACGAGGGGAAGGTGTCTACGAGGGGAAGGTGTCTACGAGGGGAAGGTGTCTACGAGGGGAAGGTGTCTACGAGGGGAAGGTGTCTACGAGGGGAAGGTGTCTACGGGGTGAAGTAGTCTACGGGGTGAAGGCGTCTCTGGGGTGAAGGTGTCTACGAGGGGAAGGTGTCTACGGGGTGAAGTAGTCTACGGGGTGAAGGCGTCTCTGGGGTGAAGGTGTCTACGAGGGGAAGGTGTCTACGGGGTGAAGGTGTCTACGGGGTGAAGGTTTCTACGGGGGGTGAAGGTGTCTCTGGGGTGAAGGTGTCTCTGGGGTGAAGGTGTCTACGAGGGGAAGGTGTCTACGGGATGAAGGTGTCTACGGGGTGAAGGCGTCTACGAGGGGAAGGCGTCTACGAGGGGAAGGCGTCTACGAGGGGAAGGCGTCTACGAGGGGAAGGCGTCTACGAGGGGAAGGCGTCTACGGGGGGAAGGCGTCTACGGGGTGAAGGCGTCTACGGGGTGAAGGCGTCTACGGGGTGAAGGCGTCTACGGGGTGAAGGCGTCTACGGGGTGAAGGCGTCTACGGGGTGAAGGCGTCTACGGGGTGAAGGCGTCTACGGGGTGAAGGCGTCTACGGGGTGAAGGCGTCTACGGGGTGAAGGCGTCTACGGGGTGAAGGCGTCTACGGGGTGAAGGCGTCTACGGGGTGAAGGCGTCTACGGGGTGAAGGCGTCTACGGGGTGAATGCGTCTACGGGGTGAATGCGTCTACGGGGTGAATGCGTCTACGGGGTGAATGCGTCTACGGGGTGAAGGCGTCTACGGGGTGAAGGCGTCTACGGGGTGAAGGCGTCTCTGGGGTGAAGGCTTCTACGGGGTGAATGCGTCTACGGGGTGAATGCGTCTACGGGGTGAAGGCGTCTCTGGGGTGAAGGCGTCTACGAGCAAGGAATGCACTAATACCAAGTACAAGTTTCGATACTTTTCCTCAACTTCTCACCGATACCTTTTGTTACAACAATGCAGAATCCCACCAGCGACAGAAGACTACAAATTAGGGATGCACCGATGCCGATACTAGTATCAGTATTGGTGCCGATGCCCAGTATTTGGGCGAGTATTCATACTCACCCCGGGAATTATCCCAATAGTGGAACTTCCAGTATCAGGAAGCCGGGTGGTGAGTCATTACTCGCCCGCCTGCTTCCTGATTGGGAGCTTGGGAGTGAACCGAAAGACGGCGGCGCTGCAATACGTATTCGGGGAGATTTACCTCCTTTGGATGCTTTTTTCTCATTTCTGTTTGTGAGTATATTTTATTACTCTTCACACTATGGAGTGTCCTGCTTTTGTCTCCGTTTGCTAAAATTCATTGATATCGAGTGGTAGCGATCCCACCACTGGAGGACTACATCCTTATAGTGGAGAAAAAAGAGGAAGTTTCTCATTGTTTAACATCGGGTATCTTCCCGCCTGAGATTGAGAAAGGATCAGACGAGAGCGCGTGCGTTCAGGGTGGTGTGGCCGTAGGCGATTGACAAAGGAAGTGGCGTTTCTAGACCTTTATAAGGTGATGTCACAAGGAGAATTGAGGTCACATGGAGGGGTGAGGGCACATGGAGGGGTGAGGTCACATGGAGAGGTGAGGGCACATGGAGGGGTGAGGGCACAAGGAGAGGTGAGGGCACAAGGAGAGGTGAGGTCACAAGGAGAGGTGAGGGCACATGGAGGGGTGAGGGCACAAGGAGAGGTGAGGGCACAAGGAGAGGTGAGGGCACATGGAGAGGTGAGGTCACATGGAGGGGTGAGGGCACATGGAGGGGTGAGGTCACATGGAGAGGTGAGGGCACAAGGAGAGGTGAGGGCACAAGGAGAGGTGAGGGCACAAGGAGAGGTGAGGGCACATGGAGGGGTGAGGTCACATGGAGAGGTGAGGGCACATGGAGGGGTGAGGGCACAAGGAGAGGTGAGGGCACAAGGAGGGGTGATGTCACAAGGAGAGGTGAGGTCACATGGAGGGGTGAGGGCAC